GTGTCTCATTCCATGACCCTGGCTGAAGGGGCAGCATTTCTGGGAGCTATTCTCACTGTGGGCCAACAGAGTGGGCAGTAGACCATACTGTTTTAATATATCTCAGGCTCTGTGCCTGTTGGATCTGAAAACAACACCCATTGGCCAAAGTAAGCCCATGGCCAAAGCAAACCAGGGTCAAGGGTCAGAAAAGGGTATTCCGCTCAGCAGGAGGCCATTACATAGTAGAGTACTATGACCAGTACCATGAGCCTCTTATCAGGTGAGACTTCCTGTGACATAAGGATTCCTAGCATTTTCATGTGTGCTGTCACATGTCTCCATGTATGAGAAATGCTGTCTGTACACTTGTACAGTTTTTCAAGGATCAGTGTATTCCCAGGGCCAGGGATTTAGCTCAGTGGTTCCAATGCCTGCTTTGCAGACACAAAATCCCAAGTTCAATCCCTGGTACAAAAAAAAAAAAAAGAAAATATCTCAAAGGAACATCATAAAGTTATTTTAGTGAGATGATGGACAGGAGTCAAAAGAGAAATCCCAGGGCTGTAGAACTCTTCATATTGTTTGAATTGCATGTACAATTATAAAAAACCACTTCTAATATCAAAGTCATAAACCACAATGGGCCACTCTGTGTATCCATCACCTTTAAGGTGTGTGATTTCTCTTATCCTTTCCCTAGCTTATAAGAAGAGGGTGGTGTCTTAGACACTTTTCTCTTTGCTCAGATACAACACCCCCCAACTTAAAGGAGGAAAGGTTTATTTTGGCTCATGTTTTTAGTCCACAGTTGGCTGGCTCCAAGGCAGGATGGTGTGGCAGAGAGACACGGCAGAGAAATAGCTGTTCGTGGCATGCCAGACAAGAAACAGAGGATGAGAGTGAGAGGAAGAGCATGAAGGAGAATTAGAACGAGATCAAAGGAGGAGAAGAGGAGGGAGATGGATCCTTGTGGGCCATGCAACTAGTGGCACCCTTTCTCCAATCAGGCATCACCTCGCAACATCGCATTTAGTTATAAACTCATTAATGGACTAATAATCCACTGATGAGTATAATGCTCCTTTGGGAGAGCAATCACCTCCCAGTAGCCCCATCCATAAGTCTTTGGGGGACATCTATATATAAACCCTAACAGGTGGAAGAGCCAAGGAGGCCTGACTTTCCAATCCTTTCTAGTGAGCCCAGTCATCTAGTAATCGGAGGCCACAGAAGAGAAGTTGAATGAAAATAGAGCTGAGGGGTTGCTCCTGTGCCAACTGAGTTGAAAGCATCCTCACAGATGAGGAGGAAAGTCAGGTCTCAGTGGGGGCCAGTTCCCAGGGGAGGAACAGAAATAAGTGCATGGAGCATGGATCGATTGATCAATCGATCAGAGTTTCAGGTGAGCAGCTCCAGTGTCTGTTCTCCATTCTCTGCAGGGCAGGACGGCAGGAGCACTCTCCAATGGCACATTAGACTGCTCCCCCTCAGCTTGCAGGAGACTGAGCCAAACTTCCCCTGTTAGTTACACTTGCCTTTTATTTTTCATGAGATGAATTTTTAATTTTTATGACAGTATTGGGAAAATTGCAAAGCATTTTCATGGAGCAAGCTGCAAATATGCAGTATATTTGGTCGAAGAATCAAAACTTCAGTTGGGTCAGTACAGGGCCAAAGAGGACACAGGAGTTGGGTTCCCCCAACCTGCAGAGGTGGGCCTGCCCTTGGAGTTCCCAGCCAGACTGCTGGGGAGCAATGTTATCTTTGAGCCACACATTTCCTGAGCACAGACCTGGTGCCACACACTCTTCTCAGCTCGGGAACTACAGCACAAAATGAGATAGACAGGATGGTGTCTTAATCTGTAGTTCAGGCTCCTATAACAAAATGTCAGTCTGGGAAGCTTATAAACAATAGAATTTATTTCTCACAGTTCTGGAGGTTGGAAGTCTGAAATGAGGATGCCAGCGTGCTTGGATCTTGGCAAGGAATCCCTTCCCAGTTTCAGACTGCTGATTTCCTGTGTCCCTGTAGGGGAGAAGAGGAGTGAGCTCTGTGGGGTCCCTTTTATGAGGTACTGACACTATTTAGAAGGTCTCCACCCTCATGATCCAAATGTCTAATATCATTTTAAGGGTGAGGATTTCAACATAACATTTGAATGGGCACAAAAAGTCAGTCTGAACACATGGTCTTTGTCCTCCCTCATGGAGCTTACATTCTAGTAGGAACCTGATCTGAAAGAAAGATGAGCTTAATGAATGAGCCACAGGGAATTGAGTTAGCAAATGGCAGAAGCTTCCTGTGACTTCATTTGGGCTGAGGATGTGGGATGGGGAGGAGCTGACCAAGCACCTGGGAGGTGCTTCCAGCTGTTCTGTCATGGGAATGATGCATCCCTAGCGCCTGGTTGCCAGGAGGGATACTGAGTTAGCCCAGCCTGGTCCAGGATAAATGTGCCTCCCGGGTTTGGTTCCTTGCCAGCCATGAAGCTGGGGTCCACTGCTGATAGTGAGGTCCTCCTTCTATCTCCTGTCTCTAACATCAGAATGCCCCTTGGCCCAGCCTTGGGGGCAGCTGCCCCGCAGGCTTGCTTTCCTCCCTCCAGATTCAGGTGGCCCTGATCACTGCCAACCCTTGCACCCTGTACCCCTCTCTCGTCCCACCTGCTGGTGAAGTTGGGCATCTCCCCAGGGACTGTAGGCGGAGAACATGGGGACACTGAGAGAACAGGGTCACCATCTTCCACCTCTCAGCATCCTTTCTGCCATCACAGATTTCAGGCATGTCACAGAACCCTCCAAGTATGGTCTCTGCTTAGGTGCTGCAGGGAGAAACTTGTTAAAGATGTTAAGAAAAGTCTTGCATCCTAAGTAAGAATACACTATGATTGGAGGAGCATAAATGTCTGAGCTGGAAGGGATCTTAACCACTTGCTCACTTACCCAGTGATATTATGGCCCATGTTCTGTGTGCCTTTCACAGTGTCAGATGGACACGGGGCACCACAGGAAGCCAGAGCTGAGGATGTACAGGAAGGGAGCTCTGCTTCAAAGGACCCAGAGAGGAAGCAGAGGCAGGGTATAGGGGCACCACGTTTAGAGGGGAGTTGGGAAAGGCCTGGCTGAGGACTGAAGTTACATAGGTGGGACCAAATGTGTTCCCCCTAAATTCATATGTGGAAATTGAACTGAATTTGGAGATGGGGTTTGGGGGCGGTGGATAGATTTTGAGGGCACAGCCTGCATGAATGAAATCAGTGCCCTTGTAAAAGGGATCCCAGACAGACAGAAAGAAAAGAAAAGATAAAATAAGATGCTGGACTAAGCTGTGATGTTTAGTAGGCAAGGTGTATTAAATGTACTTTTGACTTAATAATGTTCTTAACTTACACTGGCTTTATTGGGACGTAAACCCTTTGTAAGTTCAAGAGCATCTGTATAATAAAGGTTTTCATATCCTCAAAAACTAAAATGAATCCCAGAGGATCTTTCCTCTCTCTCCTCCATGTGAGGACACAAGGAGAGGTCAGCTATCTGCAGCCTAGAAGGAATCCTCACCAGAGCCTGACTATGTTGGCACCTTAATCTTGGACTCTAATATCTGCTACTATGAGAATAAATTTTGTTACTTATGAGCCATGCCGTCTATTTTTCTTTGCTATGAGCTTCTGAATGGATTAAGACATTCTTCATCCTTTTACCTTTCTTCTGTTCAGAGGGACATTGGGGTCAGCTGGAGAGGAGGAATTGAGGTCATGGCCTTGTGAGAGATTTTGGTGCCTACTTGCTGAGTTGATTTTTCACCAGGAAGGAGATGAAAATTCTCCAGGTTGGAGGAGAGGGGAGAAGATTAGAGTGGGACTATGGTGTGGGTGTGAGATGAGCTCTTTCCTGATCCAGAACTTGGGAAGGGGGTGATGGATTTGGAAAGCTAAGAACAGAGATCTGCCAACCTCCACTGCCCTCCCCAACCACATTCCCACAGATTAACCACCTTTCTAGTGCGCAATCTATAATCTCCAGTTCTACTTTATTTTTAAGTAGAAAGAAGATTTAAGTACAGTGTGGCTCAGCTTCTCTCCAGGGTTTTACCGTTTTTTCCCATTTCTTACAGAAGGCAACCCACATTGCTCTGACGAACAGTATTCTTGCCCAAGTCTGCAACTTAATTTTTGTTGAAGCAGCAGCTCCCTTTCCTTCTTGTGTATTTCATTGGCTTAAATACTATGTGATAAAATTATGTAATTACAATAACACATAAAGCTGGCATAAACACTTTTGGACCACCACATCTGACTCTGGGTAAATATAAAGTTGGACAGATGGGAGCAGAAGTAGGCAAGTGCCAGAAAGGAGCCCCTCCCTTGGCTGGGAGCACGTATACAGTGATACCACCAGAGAATCTGGTTTGCAGAGGGAAGGAGAGAGAGATGGGCTTTTCAGTCACACCACCAAGTGGATTTAGCTAAGAGAGCTCTACTGACTTTGTAAGGGAAGAAGTGTGGTTATGGCTTGTATCTAGATGTCCCCCCAAAAGTGGGACTTTTCTGGAGCCTGCTGGGTCTAGGGTGTGATACTGGGATTAAGGATGTGTGGTACTAAATTGATCCACTGATTGGAATTAGCATAGTTTTGGGTGCAGTCAAATGGATTTATGGAAGACAAAGGCCCCGCCCTGAGTGTGGATGGCACCACCCAAAAAGCTCATAGCCTGGATGGGATAAAAGGGAAAGGAAGGCTCCCTTGCTGGCTCCTGCCTACCCTGCCACAGACTTTATCTTCTGTGATGCCCCTCTGACATGCTGTCCCACCTTAGAATCAGCAGACTATGTCCTTAAAGCTTTATGAACTGTAAATTGAAATAAACCTTTTCTCCTTTAACTTGTTGGTGTCAGGTACTTTGTCCCAGCAATGAGAAAGTAACTAAGACAATTATATTCTGAGTTCCCCTAAAGTAGTGAGGAAGATGAGAATTTGAATGTAGGTAACATTAGTGATTTATTTACCAAGATGCTGAAGTAGGGCAACCAGAGAGGAAAGAAAGGCAGGATGAGACATGCTCATGGCAGGTGCCACTGTGGACAACCAGGGCCTTGTGGAAGTCAGTGCAGCACAAATCTCAGATGGTTCAACTGACAAGTGGAGGAAGCTGAGACAATATCCAGAAGTTCCCATCATTCCTTGTCAGAGGGCTGCTCTTGGGAGCATTAACTGCCAGGCACAGGCACCCATAGAAGCCTGAACAAAAAAAATTGGGCGGGGGGTTTAAGACAAGATCTTGCTGTGTAGTTGAGACTGACCTGGAACTCACTATGTAGCCCAGGTTGGTCTTGAACTCACGGCGATCCTCCTGAGTGCTGGGATTACAAGCGTGTGCCACCATGCCCGGCTCCTGAACAAATTCTTGAGCTGAGCATTGGAGGAGCACAGATGTATCCAGCGGTACAATGGGTACAATGCCAAGATCACACGACAAGTTTAGGACCCACAAAAATGCTTTCATTATTTTTTTAATCACAGGAAAAGTAAATTACCTTTTATGTTGAAGTAGAAGAGGTTTTAATATGTAAAATTAATATGTTGCCTTTAATATAGAAAATTAATATATTATATTTATACCATTGCAGTCAAAACATTTTAAAATTTTTCCTCAGGGAATGTTTTAGTCTGGGTGGGCTTCCATAACAAAATATCATGGACTGGGTGGCTTAAACAATAAAAATTTATTTCTCAGTTCTGGAAGCTAAAAGTTCAAGACAAAGGTGAAGGCTGACTTGGTTTCTGGCAAGGCTTCTCTGGCTTACAGAGAGCCACCTTCTAGCTAAGTCTTCACATGGTGTTTCATCGGTGCATGCAGGGCATGGGGGCGCAGAGCTTTCTCTTTTTATAAGGCCACTAATCCTGTCAGATTAGGTCCCTACCCTCATTACCTCATTTAGACTGACCTACCTCCTAAAGCCCAACTTTTAATTCTAATCAAATATGATCACAGGCTTAGAGCTTTAACCTGTGAAGTTTGGGAAGACACAATTTAGTCCCTCACATGGAGGAAGGGGCCCAGAAAAACTGGACTGCAGTTCTGGGTGGGGGAGCTAAAAACAAAAAGGGATGAGCTTGTGTAGGCACCAGGAGGACACAGGGCTGCAGGAGTGGCAGGTGGTGATGATGTCAACCTGTCTAAATTGGGTAAAGAGGAAAACAAACACGAAAGTAGCACTTCTATAGTTAAACAATGAAGGAGTCAGAGATTTTGCATCTCAACAAGGTCATAGAGCGTTTATAGTTGGGGTCATATAAGCCAGTGGGTTGAACAAATTGAATTTGTAGATTTAGAGGTGATGCAGGTTCAGATTTGGGATGAGAGTACTGGCTGAGGTTGACTAGTAGTAAAAATTCAGAAATCAGAGGGTTAAAGAAATATGATCCAGGTGATCCATATATGGTCTGCCCATGTGGGTGTAAATGTAACGACAGCATTTGGTTCTGTCTTCAGTTGTCCCTTACTATAGTGAAATACCCAAGGTTGGGCAACTTTAGATGAGATTGGGTGCTCAGGGTGGTGTGACCATAGACTTGGGCAGTTTTATAAGGAAAAGAGTGTTATGAACTCACAGGTCTTCAGCTTCAAGGGCATGGTTCTGGCATCAGCTCCACTTTGGTGAGGACCCAAGGATGGATAGCATCACAGTTCTGGGAGTCTTTACAGGAGGAAGACAGGAAGACAAAGAAGCCCAGAGTCTCACTATCCTTTCTGAGAGCTAGCATTATGACCTAAGGACCTTGTACTGGTCCCATCTCTTAAAGTTTCTAGCACATCGACCACCACAATGAGAACCAAGCCTCTGGAATATGAATCTTGAGGGAGGGGCAAACCAAATCAAAGCCACACCCATTCAAAGCAAGTCACAATATGGGCTGGGATTTTGCTCAGTGGTGCCACCGCCTGCCTCACAGGCTCAAGATCCTGAGTTTGATCCCCATTACAAAAACAAATAACAAACAAACAAAAAATGAAACAAAAACCATACCAAAACAACAACAACAAAAAAACAAGTCATGAGGTCCATGGTGGCAGATACAGAGGTCTTCAGTCACAGAAGGGATGTGACCAAGAGGAAAGATGAGCAGAGCTCTTTCTAAGAGGGACAGGGGACTATAAACTAAAAATGTCCTTAGAGGACAAGAAAGCCAATTTTCTACTGACCTTGAGGAGCGTGGCATCTGAGAGGAAATGAGTATGTGACCAAATTCCCTCATAACTAGGGTGAGGAGGAGGGAGTGTTCGAAATTCCTCCACCCAAGGCAGACTTGGCCCTAGAACAAGGCCTTTAAACTAAACTGTCCAGGATAATTCTACTAGGAAGTTTATTAGACTATGGGCAGACTGGCTGTGTTCTTGGTTAGTAAAATAAATATTGAATAGTTGTCTATCCTTCCCCAAGTTAATGCATAGATTAAATACGACCCCAGTCAAAAATCTCCAAAAGATGTTTTAAAATCAATATGCTTTGGAGTCTCGTGTGGAAAATAAGGGTTCAGCAAAAATTTCAAAGAATGTTCTTAAAATTAAGAGCCGCAAAGTGAGGGGTAGGGAGAGAGGGAGGTAGAGGCTGAGCTATACTCATGAGCACATCATGAAGCAAGGCTGTTGAAACCTCAGTGCTGTCCTCACACAGACAGGCAATGAGCAGCACAGAGAACCAGAAGCAAACCTGATGAGGAAAAATGTCAGGACTTAATAAAGCCCACTTTCCAAAAAGGACTAAGGAAGAAGTGTTGTAAAATTGTGTTGAATAATAGGATCATCATTGAGAATAAAATATTAGGTTGGACCTGCACAACAATAAACTCCAAGTGGATTAAAGTATTAAATCTGGAAAACAAACTTTAAATAAACTAGCAGAATGGGAAATGGAATGTTTGCCAGATCTGTGGGTGAATTCCTCATCTTACAAATAGCAGAAGCAACTGCAAAGACCAAGACTGACTAAGTTAACCTGGAAGGTCTTCAAACTTCCAAATAATGATATTAACAGAAAAAAAAAATTAAAGGAGGACACATTGGGAAAGTACACCAAAAATGAAAGCAACATAATTTCAAAGATATGACTGACAAAGAATCAATATCTATTATATCTAAAGAGATTAAATTTTTTAAAATATGAAGGCCTGCAAAGGTAACAAAGCCAAGTCATTCATGGGAGAACAGATTACTATTAGTTATAAAGATTAAGCTTGAGCTACCATTTTGCACTTAAGAACTTGTTACTTTCTACTTCTATGCTGTGTAACCTTGAACCCCTAAGACTAAGGTGGTCTGGGCTTACTCACTGGTGGTTGTGGCATCACCAGCAGGGACAACATATTTAGAAAGAAATATGATGATATGAAGCAAGAACCATAAAGAGTTACCCAATCTGAATTCTTAATTTCCCATCTGCAACTCTGTGCTAGGGAAACAAATAAATGGAAATTTCACATGCACAAAAAATGTTTGTTGTCATTTGTAACAATACATTAACTAGTAGGACAAAACAGAGAAAAGAAACAGGACCTAAATGTCCAAGATAAGACTTTAGTTATATTGTAATTTATCTACTCAATGGAGTATATGCAGCCAATACCTAGAAGTTGCATTAGGCCTAAGTTTGAAAACTTTGGGAAAAAAATTTATGTTTGCTTGTTGCTCTCTCTCTCTCTCTCTCTCTCTCTCTCTCTCTCCTCCTTCCCTCACAAGCAGGGAGGACGATGGACGATGCAGACTCACTGACTCGGGGAGTCTCTCAATATTGCCAGTTTAGCACAATGTAGTGGCCAGGGGATTGGGGGTGTCTTGGAGGGAAGGAGATCTCCTTTTGTATGCTGAACACACGTGCCCCCTATTAGGTGTTTAATCCAAAGAATGAAACATGAGAAATACAATCTGTACATTTAGAAACACCATGTAAGTTACAGCTACATTGCCAGATGAGCCCAGATACTATTTTTGGTTTGTCTGGAAAAAAAAAAATCACCTTGTGGTGAAAATGCATCCCATTTGCAGCAAAACCACAAATCTCTATACTCAAGCTTTCTGCATCCTGGATTAACAGGAGAGCTTGTGTTTCCCGGGATCCGTCTATCCATTCATTGCTTCTGGGAGTTGCCATGGTGGGTGGGGTCTCCATGTGTAACTGTGGCTGTGGGTTCCTGCTCTGCAGCCCCTGGCTTCCAGTACCTGTGCTTTCCCCTTCTGGCTGACCACTGACCATGGGGAATAGCTGTTCATAGGCTGATGTGAGCCCTTCTGAGTGCTGACTTCCCCTCTGCCAGGCCTCAGGAGCCCAACCCCTCTGCTTTGGTCCCTGGCTCCTTTTCTGCCTCTTCCTGGCATCCTTTTCTGGATACCTATCCCTGGTGTGGGGACGGGTTTCCTCCAGCAGGGCTGTTGGATCCTAGTACAGTGGGGATGACTCTCTACTACAAGCTTGCCTTTCTCCACTGCTGGGGAAGCCTGGGAGGGAGTAGGATTCCATCAGGGGGTGGTAATGCCAGCCTTCTTCTATAGCAGAAATATAGCACCCTGCTGCTGCTCTACTTCCTCACTTTTCACTTTTGTTGGTATTTTCTCAAGCCTCCACAGTTGTTCCTTCTTCTCACACTCCACTTAGGGGGCCCCTAAGTCCATCACAGGGGACCTGAGAGGTGTCGCCTGCTATTGTTGACATGGTTTATATCCTCACTCTCAGGCTCTTCAGCTCACATAGTTCAACAGGGATAGCCTGGAGAGTGTTTCTACATTCTAGAACATTCTGTGAAAGATGAGGGTCTGTTCTATTCAGAGCACACAATGGGCCATGGAGACAAAGAATCTTTATTCATATTAGCCTAATTAAGTGCACCATTGATGAGTAAATCGAGAGACCCACATGCTGGGCGTGGTCCACAGTGCCTGTCTACGCAAGGGAAGGAGTGAGAGATGGGCACAGAGGCCTGAAGGAAACTTTGGATACAGTCCAGCCAGAAGCCACTTTCTTCCTGTTCCTGGTCTTATGCAAGAAACTCATTTCACAAAGCTTGTCCAAGGAGGGTTTCTGACCTGCCGTGGGGTGAGTTGGGAGTGGTGTGTGTGGTAGGGTGTGGATGGAGAGGAGGAGCGAGGAGCATAACCAGAGCCAAGGGGCCATCATGAATCTTGGTGATTAGGAGCAGGTAGAAACTGGCCACATGAGCTCACCAGTTGACGAGCAAGATCTGAGCCCCTATGTGGGTCACTGTGCTGAGGCAAACAGCCAGGGCTGGTTCCAAGGACTTTGTTTCTGTTCCCACAAAGTGCTCACATGAGAGAGCAGGTGATGCAATGAGTTGCTCATCCCACACCCATTGGCACGTGCTGTTGATGAATTTCTGACAGTGCAGACCTGGCTGATAAATTCATCTCAGATCTTGAGGATGCCCCAGCTTGTCTCTTCCGGAGAAGTGAACTTTAATTTATTTAAATTTAATGGAAAAGCATATGGAGGGGAACAGAAAGCTAATTTAAAATAGTGCTCAAAGCAATCAATATGTTAACAGATTCCTTCAACTTTTTACACTTGGCTGCCGGGGAAAAAACACACCAAAAAAAAAAAAAAACA